GCAGAGGTCAAGAAAATTCCTAAGCCGAAAGTGCCGAGCTTTTAAAGGAATTATCCCAACCTTTAATTTTTCCTGGCAGAAGAGACTGCAATAATGCTTCACCCCCTGCAAGAATTTGTGGGTTTAAGATAAAAGTACAGAACAAAAATAGGATTTTTCTTCCCCTCTACAGGTTATACAGATAAAATTGAAATTCATCTAAAAAAATGTATTTTTTCCACATTATGTGCTGAATAAGAGACATCTATAAGCATCAGCTCCTTGCTCTAGTACTGACTTAGACCCTTAATGTGTCTGAAGGTTGGCTGGGGGTTGGAAGGACACAGAGGAGAAAGGAGAAGGTGGTGGGAGGGAAGTGGGGGGAGGAATCTGCTGCTTTTTCCAGGATCCAGAGCAAATCTTTCACTCCAACTGGCACTCTCTACATCAGAACCAGACAAAGTACCTGCAGGAGCTGCTCTGCAGGAGTCAATATATTTGTATTTCTGCTTTTAAACATATCGCTCTAATAATGCCAGAGATTAGTCCAAAACTGGCAAGTCAGGAAGGCAGGAGATCTATGCTTTTTAATATCGAGCTCTTCACCAAGATGACTTCTATCATGTTAATGGCTAAATCACACTGATTGTAAAAGAGCCAAAATGAGGCAATTAGTAAGGGCTGTGACAGGCTCAGAAAAGGAAATGCACAGGGTTTGCAGTGCGAGCCAGATGGATATCTTCAATATATTTCTTATTGTCTGCTTGTGGTAATATGTTCAATTAAACTAAGTCAGTACTACAGAAGAACCTTTGAATTGCCTGGAAAAAAAAATTAATTGTCTGCTGCAAATTTAATGAAGCTGAACGCTTGTGTTATGTTTACAAGTTTTATTTGTTATGATCACTAAGTGTTTATATGAAAAAAAAAAAAAAACACAAAAACAACCCAACCCTAACTGACTTCATTCAGCCCTAAGAGCAAAATGCTGCTATTTGATTTTATTATTGGGGGTTTATTTCATTTCCATGACTCTTTGCCATTTACTGGGTTTGTCTTTAGCAGCTGACCTAATTTTTTTTTTCTCTGCCCCGATGAGGAACCAGCAGCTCTTGCCGTGCTGCTCATTCACAGCCGCTGTGAGGTGAGTTAAGCTCTGAGTTCAAAAGCGTTTGACCCCAAACCTGTGTCATGATGTGTCCTCAAAGGGGTCATGGCTGGTCCCTGCGACTCTCACCACCCTCCTCCTCAAGGAGGGCAACAAGGATGGGGAAGGGCCTTGATTTGGAGCCCTGTGAGGACACTGAGGGCACTTGGTATGTTCAGCTGGAGAAGAGGAGACTGAGGGGAGACCTCCCTGCAGTCCCAACTGCCTGGGCAGGGGCAGAGGAAACCCAAAAACCTTTATGTGTGGATCCTCTTCCTCTTGGGGAAAGAAGTTAAAGTCTCACCTCAAGGAACTGATCTCCTGGTTACTCAGAAGCCATGACAAAGTTGAGGACAACTGGTAGAATTCACTGGCATTCACTGATTAAAAAAAACCCAGGGGAGACCTCCCTGCAGTCCCAACTGCCTGGGCAGGGGCAGAGGAAACCCAAAAACCTTTATGTGTGGATCCTCTTCCTCTTGGGGAAAGAAGTTAAAGTCTCACCTCAAGGAATTGATCTCCTGGTTACTCAGAAGCCATGACAAAGTTGAGGACAACTGGTAGAATTCACTGGCATTCACTGATTAAAAAAAACCCAAACCCTAGAACAAAACCTGTGGATGTGAGGAAGCACAACCCCGTTTCTGAAGAATGCAGCTCAATGTTGATCAAGTGATGCTGAAACAGAGACAACCAACCACAGATGGGAAGATGGGGCAGGGTGATAATCACATCTCACCAACACTGTTGCTGCAGAGGAAAAATGCTGTGTCCTGAACTCAGCAAGAACTGCAGGTTTAAAGGCAGCAACACGTGAAGTCTCTGAAATGTTCCTCGATAATAGGCCAGAATTTAGAGTATTTAATCAATTTTCAGTGCAGTGCAGCACTTCAACGTTCACCCAGAGGAATAGGCTTGGAATGAAAAATCTGCTATTTTATAGAAAATAATTTGAATCACTGTGCTGGACAAAATCAAGACTATCAGTCTATTCAAGCATGAGGAAAAAATAACCCACTGACATTATCTTTGTATTCTTTTACTGCTAAAGTGATACAGATTCCAGCCAACAAAAGGTCTCTTGCTTTTACTGCCATGAGCCCTCCCCTGACAGAGCCAGCAGCAGCAGGAAAATGTTAAAGGTGCATCGTAATTAAACAGGCAAATAAAGTTATTGGAACCTGCCCTTGTCAGGGAATGCAACGACGTGACAGGAATTGCTGCACTTGCCCAAGAGAACGGGTATGTACCAGCTCTACCAAGCATTCAGGGATAGATTTACACAGGAAATTATATAAATGTATGTATTTTGATATCTAGATGGATGTACAGCACAGCCCACAGCCAAAGGGGCAGCAGGTGCTCGAGAAGCAGCCACACGTGTCTGTGTGATCCATTCACCACCAACATCCCCACACCAAAGCTGGCCTCGCATCAGAACGTGTCTACTGGCAAAAGAGACTTTCTCATCCTGGTGATGCACTTCTATCATCTCCACTCCTCTCATCAGCTTGTTTGGGTGCCTCTCCCACCCCACACTTCATGTGGGTCTTCCTCCTTGCTGCAGCTGGGGTTTTAACACCAGGAGCCTCTCCTGGCACTTCCTACACCCAGAGCTTTTATTGCAATGTCTTGAAATTAGTCTCCTATTTCAGCCTGCTGCTGCATCAGCCAATTTCTATCACTGCATTAAGTACAAATAAACTCATGTTGTGCAGTCTATGCCTGTTTACACTATTTGTCATTTAATCCCCCGGTACTTAGAAAGCCTCTAATCTTTCTGTGTGTTGGAAGAATTGAACATTTAGCCTCAAGTAGAGGAAAAAAAAAAAAGAGGAAACAAGATGGAAAATTAATATTTATACAATACATGGGAACACACACCATGTTTTACAGAGCTCTGAGCACTGTCTGGGATTCTCCTCCAGCCTTACGACCTCAAGTCCTGCTTTTTAACTTAAAGGTCAAACTGCACCTGCAAGTTTCCAAAATTTCAGGTCTTGGAGGCCAAGAGGTTCTCATTCAACACCAGTCCAGAAACAAACCCAAACCACAACTGCACTGGTTCAGAAACCCACCAGGGTTCACCACTTCTGACAACAGAATGTTAATACCCAGCCCTATGGGCACCTGTCAGAATTTGGTATTTTTCAAACTGTCTACTCATGCATAATATGAATATTTATTCCTCCCTCTCTGGTTGTTTGCCAGAGAGTTATTTTGAGCTCCTTGGTTGTGGTGCAAGATATTCCCCTACTCCTCCCATCCGTGCCTACACTTTCTCCCCAAGGAAGAAAATTAAAAGAAAATAAGGATAACCTGCAATATTAATGGAAGAACACAGGAAGGTCACAGAAAAAAATGTCTTTTGACCTTCACAGATTTTTACTCAATGACATTAGAGAAGTTAGAAACGAATGTGAGCATATCTTAAGGTCAGAAAGCACATCAGCTGATAGATTAGTCTTTTTGTCCACCACAAAACTGAGTTAGCTAATTCAGTCATTTCTGTCCGAGCTCACACGTGTTTTACTTAGGGCAGAGAAACCCAAGCATTACAGTCCATAATGCAGTATTTGACACAGTTCATTTGGAGTTCAGAATAGTTTCTGCTCCTTCCCACTTTTTATGGGCTCCACTAGGAAATTGCACTGCTCAGTTTGCTGTTAAAATCCACATCCTGGGCTTGTGAGTTCATTCTCTGCTCCGTGCACACATGTCCCTCCCATTAATGCTAATGGGATGGACTTAAAAGGGAGCCCTGAGGGAGAAAAAAGCACTTGCTAATCCTTTATAACCTCTCCGGCAAGGGAAGTGATTTGTAAACCACGTGAAGCCAAAGCTCAGGTACCGCAGCTGCCGAGTCCTGTGCTGGAGTCACGGGCAACGAGAAGGGACAAGCCCTGAACTACAGAACCTTGACTCTGACAGGAAGGAATCACTGCTGTTTTCAACAACTGGCTTTTTTTTTATGGTGGTCCCTGCCAACCCAAACCATTCTGGGATTCTGTGGTTCCATGACCCTTTTGCCAGTAGACCAGGTCTGGTGTATGTTCTTGTTCCTTCAGCAGCACTTTCCCAGCTCTTTGCTGCAGGTGCCTCCTTAGGAAAACACAGATTCAGAAAAGGCAGAGTCAGCTCAGACAGAGTCCTAATGTTGGTCTTCACTTGTCTCTGTTTGCAGGGACCAACATGGGTAGAGGCAAATGCCCTACAAGGTACTCAAATCAACCCCAAACCACAGAACTGTTGGGGCCACACATTCCCCTACAGGCTTCCCAGAATCCCAGATTGGCTGGGGTTGGAAGGGACCTCTGGATGTAATCCAAGTATAAAAAACATAGGTTAAAACTTGCATTGAAGTATTTTTAACTATTCCCTATACACCATCCAAATAATTGACAAGGAGAACCTCTAACTGAATATGATCCATCAATGCCAATACATGGGAGAATTAAAACTGACAGCACCAGAGCTTTGTGATTGATTTATGGCTTTGTAATCAATCTTTCCTGATCTGTTATCCAATATAGGTTTTTCCCCAAATAAGAAGGAGATGGAGAGTGATTGTAAGTGTAATAACCTATATGTTCATTGCCTGTAATAATTCATCAGACATTGGACTACTCGTAAGCAGGCCAAAAATTAATTCGAGACATTTGTCAGTGTCTCTCACTGTTTATCAAACCATCCCTTTAAATGCCTTTGTCAGATGTTGGAGCTTTTACTTTTGAAAATCATATTTGCCAGAAGGTGAATGCCAATGAATAAACACTCGGAATTCCTGAAATGCAGAAACGCAGCCCTGGGTGAGGAATAATGGAAGTCAGCTGGACCTTGTGCACCGACTGTGGACAGCAGAGGCTGCAGTTACCTTTCACCACCAGGCTGCCTGTGCTGCTCGCTGTCCCGAAGTGGTTTGTGGCCACGCAGGTGTAACTTCCCGCGTCCGATTTGGTGACGTTGACGATCCGGAGGCTCCCGTCGTCCAGAATGGTGATTCTGCAAAGACAGCAGACACACAGATTTTAAGGGTTTTTTTTTAAGTCACCATCAAGCTCTTTCGAGCGTGCATTACTGATGGAAGGTCGGAGCAGCAGACGCCGCGCTGCCCCTCGCAGGGGGAGGGAGATCTCTCGGGACGCGCTTCGTAAGTACCAAACGCGCCATTTACACGAGTTTTCTGTGTCTTTACTCCGGGGCAACTCTAATTTACACATCAGCAGCTCGTGTAGCTTTTCCACACGCCTGTACTTCGCTATTCAGCCCTCACCATGACAACCCCTGTGACATGAGGCGCTCGGGGAAACCTCGGCGCTCGCCACTCCCGACGCGAGCGCTGCTGCCGAGCAGCTGCCCTGAAGCGGGTGGTGCCTCAGTGCTGATTTTATTCCAGAAGGCTGATGGCTTTTCAGCAAGAGGACCATGATGCCAAACTTGCTCTCCACCTCTCTGCCTGGGCAAAACTCAGCCCACAGGTCTCCTCTTCAGTGGCGCTTGCAGGTTGAAAAGAAATGATCCTGTTTCATTCCAGTCCTCTCCCAACCCACCTGTTTCCCATCTGAACAGTGTTACCTGCAGTGGGACACGTTCCTTGAGGGCAGGAGGCAGGTGAGGATGGAATGTTAATCCTGGAGTGATCCCCTGCCCCTCCTCCTCTTGCACCTCAGGCTCCCCCTGTTCTCACAAGGAGCTTTGTCTCTTGTTCCATTTTTTTTTCCTGCTCTGAGTGAGTAGACACAGAAAACCTGATGCTGCACAGTAATCCCACCAAAACTTGAATGACTTGTGCCCTACTGAGGCATCATCTAAGGAAACTCCAGAAAAAAAACCCTTTCTCCCAACCTAATATCACCTCTTTTAGCAAAACTCCTGCCTGTCTCCTCAGCATCATGTCCCGCAGCACAATCTGCTTTCTCACCTTCAGCCACTTTCAGACCTGCATTGAAAATCTTGTCTCAATTCCTGCCTTCTCCTGCTCAATTATTTCCCAGTTTAACTGAAATGAAGGAGCCTTCCTGCATCCTCAGTGCCAACAAAGCTCTGCACAACTGGACTGAGAAATCAGGAGGAGAGAAACTCAGCAAACAGCTCTTGCACCACCGCAGGCCACCTGCTTCAAAAACCAGGACAGCTGGAGTGTCTTTACCAAACAAGGAGCAGGAAGATGGTGCAGGATGCTCCAATCTCCATCCTGGCTCACCTCTCCTGCCCAACAACACCCAGGCAAGCTGGCAGAGCCCAGGGACAGAGGTTGCTTTTCACACATCAGTAGCAGTGATATTAATAGAAGCTTCTCAACTGGCTTATAGGTCTCCAAATTGTTGCAGTCAGTAACGTTCACCACTGTAATTTATTTTTGCAGGGCCCCAGTGCCATGTATTTGCTTCTGTGGCAGTTGCTCCAGCTGGATAATTGGAAGAGAGCAGTTTATAGCTCCTTGTCCCTTATCTTCACCACTGTGTTGGCACAAATCAATGCATGGATTGCATTAAGTGTGTGCTGGAGCACAGGACTGGCCACGCTGGCCTCCAGCACAGGAGCCTGGGCAGCAGCAGCAGCACCAGCAGCTCCCAAGGAATTATTTGCTGCTCTTATCAATTTCAGGTCTTGGGAAACCACTGTGCCTTTCTGGAAGCTGAAGGTGCCCTTGGCAGGCATTAAAATTCCAATCAATATAAACAGCAGAACGAGCTCAGCAATGTGTTCCAGCTCAAGGAGGACCACGGTGCTCCAGCACTCCCTCCCCTCCACACTTCTGCCACCCTAAGAAATCCAGAAAATAATGAAGTTTTACATTATTTCTGTACAGTTGGGATTTTATTTTTAGTTATTTATGTTTTATTTTCAACCATATGGTTGAAACCTATTTACTGGATAATCTCTCCCACAGATCATTTTAATTATTCTGTTGATGAAGCCAGATTTAATTTCAAATTCCAATGCCTTTTCTGTCTCTGTCGTTCTCATGTTATTGGTTTCCTTCTAAGTTGTCTTTATTCCCAGTGTAAAACTGGTTTTTAGCTGATGTGGACTGGATTGACCTAGAGACAACCTTTGGATCAGGACAGTCAATCCACCACGGGCTTTAGCACGTCTCAGGGAGCTTGTGCTGTCTTTGTTTCCCTCCCTTTCTAAGCTGAAAGCTGTGGCCACTGGCTTTACAATCTGAGCCCACAGACATCCTCTAACCCCAGGAAGGTGTTGCAAAGACTTCAGGAGAGACTTGCCCTGAGTTCTCCAAACCCCTTCCCCAGAGAGGCCCCAGGGACATTGAATCCTCATCTGGTGTCTCAGCAATTCCCTCCACACTCCTGTAAACAACCAGCATTAAAACTGACAGATAATTGTACAAGTTAACTGATTTTTTAAAAATAAATCAGACCATTAAAACCTCTCTGCGACTCATTGATTAGGAGGCCTTATGGTTATGTGGCTCTTTTTGCTGAGGGTGCTTTTCTACAGCCAATGTTTTGTCCTCTAATTTAAATCCAATGTGTTAGAAGTTAACAAATAATTATTTGAACACTCGGAAATTTGTTACAGTTAGTTGAGAAAGTAGGAAGGGTTCTCACCGCTGCTGCTAATTCCCAAATTTTCTTTGCAGACTTATCTGCACTAAACGGGAGGAGAGGCTCATTTCAGGCCACTGAGGTTCTCAAACTGCTAATTGGCTTGAAAGCAATCAACCCTTCATCCACCACTTTTAGCAGTTTGGGTGCAAAAGTTCTTTCAAGACACAGAGTTCAGTCTGCTCTCTCCTCTGAAATACACCCTCAAAGTGTTTCCTAACCAGATGCCCAGGAAGACATAAAAATAAACCACATTTCCCATAAACACGTGCATTACTTCAGAACAAAGTGCTGGTTGCTGAGTATGCATTTTAAACCACTACAAAGTCAAAAAAGGAGCTACTGACTCACTGTTGAATGTTCTGGGTTCCCTGACACTACTAACAGCAGAGGTAACAATAAATAAAAATACAAATCTCATCTTGCACAGGTTAATGCAACTGTTCTACTGATAACCTGGCTCATGGTCACTGCTAATACCAAAGAAAAAAATCAAAGAAGTTAAAAATATCCATTTGGAAAAAAAAATAAAAAAAAAAAAAAAGATGACACAAGATAGTTTAGCACCCTTACAGAAAGAAAGGTCATCTATTTTAAACATAGCATTTGTAAGAGAGAATCTGTGGGTCTGTGTTGTCAACTGGAGATTTCAGGTCCACAGAGAGCAAAGACACGTCTGAAATTAGGAGATAAAAGGATTGCTTGTTTCCTAAACTGAAGTGTTGGGTTCTACTCCAGGAAGAGCTGACCTTGTCAGGGTTTTGATCAAAACTCTTCTGGGGACAAAAGACCTTTAAAAATGCTGAAAACATCCCTCCCTAGCCTTCCTTCCCCATTTTTATTTTGCCACTGCGGCAGCAAATGTTAAGAAGTTGCCAAGTGAACGCTTTGCATCCCCCTAAAGAAGCATTTCCACAGCTGACAGGCACAGAGCTCCCAGAGCAGCTCCCTGAGACAAGGGCATGGAGGGACAGGACAAGGGGAACGGCTTCCCACTGCCAGAGGGCAGGGATAGGTGGGATATTGGGAAGGAATTCTTGGCTGGGAGGGTGGGCAGGCCCTGGCACAGGTTGCTCAGAGAAGTTGTGGCTGCCCCTGGATCCCTGGAAGTGTTCAAGGCCAGGTAGGAGCAACCTGGGCTGGTGGAAGGAGTCCCTGCCCATGGCAGGGGTGGAACTTTAAGATCCCTTCCCACCCAAACCATTCTGCAATTCTATAATGCTGCAAGCCCACAACTGCCCTATCCTCTGCCAGCTCTGCAGGAGGGGAAGGGATTGAAAACATTTGTCTATTTGGCTGGTGGGAACCTTGAAAAGTGCACAAAGGAGACTCAACTTTATGGCTCCAGAGAGCTCTGCTGTTCAAAGACACCCAGGAAGGACCCACCACGGCCCCAGCAGCACATCCCTCTGCCTGGATCACTGCAGCAACACCAGCTCACCCAGAGTCTCCAGCAGCAGCTGGAGATGGATGGAAGAGGTCAGGCAGACCTGGAGCAGTATAACAAAAAAAAATAGCAGCGCATAATCACTTTGGTCTGATCTATTAGTGCTTATTTTTCAGCTCATGCTCCGTCTGCCATATCTGCAAGTCGCCCGTCAGCAACTGTGTTGCCTCCAACCCTGAACTAAGCACCATTGATCTGATTCATGTGGCCCACTGCAGCATTCCCCACTGCTGGGCAGGATTCCCAGGAGCAGATAAATATTCCTCAGTCAGTAACATATGCATTTAGAGATAGAGTATGTCCTGTCGAGATCAGTAAGAGTTTTATCACCGACTTTGTGAAAATGAGATCAAGCCCTTACTTGGAATATAAACGATGACTGAAAACTGCCAAACTCCCAGAGCACATCATAAAACTCAGTATCAGTAACTACCTGCAGTTCAGCTCTGTGCAAATCTGACCTTTGGGTGTGTGGCTGCATCACTTCCATCATCCAGCACATGCCTATGACCTGCTGTAATCCTGCTCTGGACTGACTTCATGCTTTGACGGATTGTTTGCTTAAAAATCCCAGACTTTTAGTATCAATTTTAGGGTCTTATTCCATTGTTTAATTACAAGAAAATCTGTGTGGCTCCAGGAAGCAAAGCACTGCAGAGCCAGGGGTTGTTGAACCTGCCCTGCACCTCTCAGGCGCCCGGTGAAACCCTGGGCCAGGTGAGGAGCAGGTCCACGCGCTCCCCTCTCCACTGGGAATCGTTTCCCAGCTCGGCACCCAGCGCCGACGGGAGCTCTGCACGGACAGATGGCACGGCAGGTATCCCTCAATATATTCCTCTCAGCTTGCCCTCTATTTTTCTGTTCAGCAGGTGGAAACATGGGGAATATGAATGGACTACAAATGCAGAGCACGAGGCAGGCTGTGCGTGCGACGACCACGGCTCTGCTCCCGCGGGACACGGCACTGCAGATTAGAGCCCAGT